CTATTTGTCTTTACTCAACAATATATACATTATACTTTTGTAAACATTTATATTATACAATCATATACACATATTTGGAAATGACTAACATGACAAAAAGAAGTTTAGGAATGACTATAATTAGCCTGAACAACCAGGAGGACTGTATGTTGATAACTTTGTAATGTACAAGTTAATTAGGGTAGACTTGAATGCAGGTAGCGAGTGGTAGACTTTAAGGTATGAGGGCAGACAGTTCCATAGTTTGGCTGATCTTTGGCTGATCGGTTCTTAGTGACTCCGCTGAACGGAATGATTATTTGGCAGCAGCCATCTTGTCAAACAGGGCTAAACCATTGAACTGTAAATAAACTGGAAGGCTAACTCAGGGGGAGGGCGGGAATTGAAGCCAGTGCATTTTAGTTTTTCTGAGTTATGAGCAGAAATACTCAACACTGAACGTTTGGCTATATATCAAATTGAAGCCATTGAAAAACGCTATTTAGTGTAGAAATTTCAAGACTTTAGCTAAAAGGGAAATATTGAAAAACTACAAAAATAATTGCTGATAATTTGCCATTTTGCAGCTGTTTTTGTATTTTTTAAATATTTTTCTTTTCGCTGAAGTCTTGAAATTTCCACGCCGAATAGTAATTTTCAATAGCTTCAATTTGATATATAGCCCAACGTTTGGGATAAAGTATTTCTGCTCATAACTCAGAAAAACTATTTTGGCTTCATCAAATCATAGGCCTTCATCATAGCAGTTTATTTATAGTTCAATGGGCTAAACTAGTGCCCAGTTTTTCTATTAGCGCTTCCTCATCACGAGGCCTAGTAATTCGAATGTTTGATGCACTGAGGTTCAACCTAGAAATGCCTAGTGCGATTGGGGGGGGGGGGATATTTTTAATCTATATAGTTAAACAGGGGGTCATTTTTTTCATTTCCAAAAAGTATAGGGGGTGCATATTTTATTGATAATGGTTTTAAAAAAACCACACACACCCCGCCCCCTGAGACGTAATAAACGATCGGTCCCTAATTTCTACTTATTGCACTTTTCTGTCCCCATGGTAACCTGAAAGGTTGAGTAATGCAGTAATCGGATTACTGGGGCTCAGGTTACCATCCCTTGGGTGGATATCTCTACTCTTTTCTAGTTCATTTGTTTTATTTAATTTCTCCTTTTTTGGTTCATTTGTTTTATTTTCTCTGTTCATTTGTTATATTTTCTCCCAATGGCCCGTGTCAGGTCTCAAGATTAGCGGTATCCCGACATCCCACAGGATACCAGATTTCAATTTTGGATACTAGACATCATAGGCTTAGTATCCTGACGGGATACTAAAAAAATTGAAATATTGGCGAAGTTCGTACATCACGGCAATGTTAGTCAAAATGTTAGTCAAAATAATATTTTTTCGTTGTTTGTCGCACGAAAACGGAATGGACCTGAGTACGAGGTTAATTTCTGCCTCTCTGCCAGGTGATCTTGATACGCAGAAAAGTACTGGCCCTGCGTGTGGACCCTGGCTTAAGGCCCATTTACACGGGCGATTTTTGCTGCGATTTTAGGGCCATTTTCTTCTGATGATGGATGTGAAGGAGTGGATGAGTTATAAATGCTCCAGGTTATGAAATTTCATAACAACGTCATTAAGTAATCTACTCCTTCATATCCTCCAAAAGGAGAAAATCGCAACTAAAATCGCAAAAATCGCCCGTGTAAACGGGCCTTTATGGTGCTCCCATTATATGTATTTTCTATCTTCCTATAGTCTGTGTACACAGTCCCAAATGCTTATCCACATTATGACAACTTTTCTCCGGGGCGGGGTGTCGGAGGAATTTACCTGAAATTACCAGAAGTGTAATAATTACAATCACCTTTGTCCACACTAAGTTTCCAAAGAAAAGGGGTTCTGGGGACCTCTCCCAGGAAATTTTTACATTTTTGAAGCTCAAGCAGGACTGCATTTCTAAAGCAAATTCGCGAACGGATTGGATTTAAATTGACTGTATTTTACAAAAATGGTTATCATTTTGCAAATGTTATTATAATTTATGCGAACATTAGTACCTGAAAATGTCAAAATTTAAACTTGAATTTTACCTGATTTTTACCTGAGTTTTACAGTTGGGATGGGGTTTATACCCGCTGGTTGCTACCGTCCCTGCTCCTGGGCGTTTCTGGTCCTTTCCCCCTGATCATGCATGTGCTTCACCCTGAATCAACCAATTTTCACTTAATTTATGTTTATGAGGGGCCTGGGTATGCAATAATTCATTATGGCCCGGCCTGAGTGATAGAACACTGCTTAATCTAATTATGGTAGAACACTGCTTAATGTAATTATGGTAGAACACAGGGGTTTCAGAATAAGCCGGCGGCCGGCGGAGTTCCGCCGGCTACTTGAACTTTTACCGCCGGCTACTTTTCGTCTGGTCACAGGAAAAAAAATATATACAAAGGTACAAGCGAACCAACACGATGTTTGTTATGTTCCAATTGGAATTCAAGCAAAACACAATAATATATAGTACCAAACATAGCTTGCTTTCTAAGTTGGTGTCGAAGTGAATCTTCCTGGAAGATAACTCTGATTGACTCTGACAGTTACTTGAGCATTGCCATTGGGGATTCCGAATTTGACAGTGAGCCAGAGAACCTTCAGAGCCACTTTGGTAAATGTTTTTGGCAAGTGACTAATTCTTTGGCAACGAATTAATTATGATAAAGTGATGAAGTGAAAAACTCTGGGCCGTAGCGAGGGGGGGGGGGTTTACCCCAACTTTTTTAGAATTAACATATTTGGAAAATCGAGTTGGTCATTCGGAAAATTACGGCAATAATAGTATAACAAAATTTTAGTTGTTAAACAGAGAAAATATAATATAATTGTATTGTCAGTATCAATTGATTTACGAAATCATGGCATTTACATGGATATTAACATTTAACAAATCGTAAATCGGTAAATATGCATGCATACCTTTATCATTTAAATAATATACCTTTAAAATACTGACAATTGATTAATTTTAAGCGGCTACATTATCCATGACAAACTGCAAAGAATCATATTACCCTTACTTTCCTGCAACTTCTCCATGCAATATATAGTTAATTAAATACGCCTTCGCCCATTTAGTACCACTAAATTGTAAACAAATTGTAAATTTCTACATACTAAAACGCTGTTTTCTGACCATCAGAATTCTGTTCTAAACATCCCCAAAGTCCAGGAAATGGCATTTCAGAGGCTCTAAATTAAAAAATTTCCTCGGGCCTTCGGCCCTCGTTCTCAGCCCCTAATCAAAAAGAGCTTCCTACCGCACTGCATGCTACTCATTCTACTCTGTGCGTAGAATATGCATATTTTTGTTTGTAAATTGCGTCTTCATTTTCCGAACAGCAAACACCTTCGTGATTAAACTACAAGTAGCACATTAAAAAGTACATTGTTACTTACAAGTATAAATGCAAATGACATCTAAATCTAACAAGTGAACAGTTGTACTTTATCTTCTCACTTCTGTATTCTATATTATTTGATTGTTAATTTGCGCACGAAAATTTTTTTAATTTCCATGCGAGGGCACGCCCCCCACTCCCCCTACTTGCGCGTTTTTTAATTATCAGTCACAGCCGGCTACTTTTTTGGTACAACCGCCTACTTCTAATCATTCTGAAACCCCTGTAATTGCGTCATATATAACGTTTCTTTAGTCAATTGCCGCCTGGCCATATCCTACTGCACTCTTAGAGGCTTATATATTCTTGCAACTGTTCTTGTCTGTTTTTGTAGCCATAGGTGTGAATTTAAACCATGCGATGCTCAATCTCCGATTCGCAGTGACGTATAAGTCTTTTAAGTCACTACGCCACTGCGAATCGTAAATTGAGCATTGCATGGTTTAAATTCACACCTATGGCTACAAAAACTGAAATTGGTAGAATATTTTCACGGTAACACAATGAAATTTTATTGAATTACATATTCTGTATGTATTTTTGTTTTATTATCAACTTGCAGCAAGTCTGCAAATGTCAAGTTGCAACACTAGTCACTAGCCTGATTCTAACAGGCTTGCTGCAAGTTATTTTATCAGACTTGTCAACTTGCAACAAACGATAGTGTATTACTCCAAAAAAATCTTGTACATTTAGAAAAAATCCATAAAAATCCCCGAAAATTCCTAATAAATCCGTATAAAATGCCGAAAACTCACCACAAAATCTTGGGGGAAAATCCCAAGAGATTTTCAGAATCCTGGAAGTCTCGTACACTGTGTTTAGAGTCAGCAAGCCTGATTTTCTGAACTTGTATCAACATTGATGCTTTCATCAGACTTGCTGCAAGTTGTTCTATCAGATTTGTCACAAAACTTGATATCCACAGACTTGATGCAAGTTGATGAAACAACTTGCATGTGACAACTTGCAGCAAGCCTGATTTTCTCAATTTGCATCAGCATTGATGCGTTCATTAGACTTGCTGCATTCACCAGACTTACTGCAAATTGTTCTATCAGGTTTGCTGCAAATTGACATTTGCAGATTTGATACATGTAGTTTCATCAACGTGCATCAAGTCCGCAAATTTCAACAGGCTTGCTGCAAGTTGATGACGTCAACAAGCCTGCTGCAACTTGTTGACAACTTGCCGCATGCCGGTAAAATCCGCAACTTGCAGCAAGTCTGTGACGTTTCTGGATATGAATGTCCTCTCAAGTTCGCAAAACAGCTATTAGTATCCAGTTTTTGGTGTATATAGCTTATTTGGGTACTTATAATATTGAATAATGAAACAAATTTTCCGAACTCAAATTTTGTGAATCAAGGGGTGTGTGTCTTTTCAAACAAACTAAAAATTGCGTGCGCACGAAATTTAAAAGCTTTAATCATATTTTGAGTTAATAGATGGAAAGTTTGTTGGGTTTTTAATTACTGTTAGGTAAAAGCATTATTCCCATTAAACAAGCATGCGAAAGGCTGATTTTTTAGGAAAAAATGAATAGTTAAAGGCCTTAAACTAAAGCAAATTGTCTTAAATTTTGTACAGTGATTAAAAACCTAACACATTTTCCATCTATCAACTCAAAATTAAAGCTTTTAAATTTCGTGCGCAAGCCATTTTTATTTTGTTGGAAAAGACACACCTCCTGGTTCACAAAATTCGAGTTCGAGAAATTTTGTTCGTTATTCTACATTATAAGTACCCAAGGAAGCTATATACATCAAAAACTGGATACTAATAGCTGTTTTTCGAAATTGAGAGCAATTTCAAATCTGCACTGTTATTTTCAGGGAGTTAAAATAACTCTGGAAAAGGGGGTTAGCAAAAAAGGTTCAAAATAATCCGTTTTTTGGGGTTAGAAATAACTCCATTTCTGGGGTTAAAATGTAACTCCACTTTTGGGGTTAATCTAACTCACATATTGGAGTTAAAATCTACCCCCTATTTAGGAGTTAAATAATTTTAACTCCATTTCAGGAGTTAAACCGGCACTCTTGAAGACTTTTCCTCATCTTTTTAATTATTTTACACATTTTTAATGTTATGAAAACCAAAACCATGAAAAACCATCACTCAGTTTTCATAACATTAAAAATTGCGTAGAAATAATTAAAAAACGAGATAACATATGTCAAGAGCGTTAGTTTAAGCGGAAGGCTTTCTAACGACGTAATGCAATTACTTCGTAAAACGGTGAATTATCGAGAAACCTAGCAATCAGTCTAATTATGCTAAGTCAACTGCTTCATCTAATACAAACGTACGCTGGAAAGTTTTCTATGAAATATATTTTATACCAACTAGCCATGTATTTCAAGAAATAAAGTTCTACAACTTGATTTCAAACCATGCATCATTGACACATTAAGTTACTGTCAAATTTAAATGTCCACATACATTTGTCAAAGACAACAAGTACTATTACAATGTTAGAACTTCAGTAAATGTACAGTACAGTACCTTGAACCTTT